AACTCTCTAATGCATGCTCTGTCAAGCCTACAAGGAGTAGGGGATACTTCAAAATTTAAGAAACCTGCGTGCAATCCTGTTACGTGGTACGCTGCTTCTGTTGTTCTGGGCTCGTGATACAGACTGTTGTCTTTGAAGGTATTTATTTACATTGAAAAAAAATCTTAAGACCTGGAGCTCCGTTCCCAGCCTGCACAGGTCATGACGACTATTTCTGTACCACATAAAAGTGTGTGAGGAGAGATCTACTAACAGTACAAAGCTGCTACTGGTAATGAGGGCCTTATTAGTGTCCAGGATGGGTTGAGACCGATTCAGAAGATCTTTCCATCCCTTGTTTAGCGGTAGAATCTGCTTCCCTGAAAGGGGCATGCCTCCTCCTTCCATGCCAGCGAGCGGAGGAAGGGGATGGTGCTGCCTCGGGTTTCAGCCGGGTCTCTGCAGAAGCTGTGTGCAGTTCCTCAGCCAGGATTAGCTTCCACTGATCTGCTTACCCCGCAAGACCCCAGAGAAGTCTCAAGAGCTACTGAAATTGCAGAAAATCAATTTCATTGGCAAGCGAGAGCCTTGGAAGTCTAATGTACATGCTGTAAGCCCATCTGAAACATGATGGGAAAGAGAAACCTGCAGCCCATATCCAAACATGGATCAGGGTTTATAGCTGGGGAAAGAACTGAAAAAAACCCATCAAATTGCTACAGAATCAAGGCCTTAAAACCCTTCCTCCAGGAATGTCCAGCTCTGCAAGTTGCACTCTACTGAATAACACTGAATTCCTGCAAAAAAAAAGTATGCTAACAAATTAAAATACTGATGCCTTACATTTTTTTTTCCATGAAAACAGCTGGGACTTTAAGGCTCTGAGTCTGTAATTATTGCAGACTTGGTACACCTCACTGTAACAATGTAGGAAAATATCACACAGCGACAGGGAGAAATAGGGCTGACTCTTCTTCCTTTTAAATCTCAATTAAAAAATACATTGGATGAAATTTCCCATTAGCTGGTACTATTTGTACATCCCATGTTCTTTCTTTAATTAAAAAACATGCTTATTGCAATACTGCCAGAATCGCTTTTACGGTATTTTAATTGTAATGTCTCTGCCTGATTAAAAAAAGAAAATATGAACTAGAAACTGCCTGCAAAAAGTATCACAACGCACATCCCAAATGGGTTGAGCAAAATGGCACAGAAAACACCGCAACACAAGCAGTTTCCAACCGTGCCTACTGACAAGGGATTTTAAAATGTGTTTAAGGACTAGTTGATGTCACGGATGGGAAAACAGAGGGAAAAGCTTTCTCCTTCTTTCAGCAAATTCAGACCCGGTCTTTATCATTAGTGACTGAAGTACCAGTTATTTGACAACTACTAACGCAGGTGTATCAGCTAATGTTTGATGCTCTTTGCTAATAGCCTCAAAGCCTGGGAAAAAAAAGTCAAGCAAAATCAGTATCTGGATTTCCCTCCTCCACAGATCTACTCACAGGACCCATTCTAGCCATGGTCTGTTCTGAGCATGGATTATTAGAAATTCAAAAAATTGACAGATAATCATTGCTCTTGTGATGTGGGTTCAAAATCAGACAATAATAGACAAAGTCATGAGTATCTCGGTTTTTTTTTTTTTTTTTTTTTTTTCCTGAGATCTCATGGTTTGGAAAAAAAAAAAAGTCCAGATTAGCCATGGTATTTTGGAAACCGAATGCACAGTTTTTAAGAGGCAGAAACCACAGATGAGGTAGGTCAGACCTTTCTGAAACCCTCAACTTGGAGTCTGACTGCGGAAAAGGGACCTGGCATGCTGTTTTCAGTGGGACTGCTAAGCTGCAGCAATGATACAAATGATAGGGGACAGAAAGCTGTAGCAAGAGACTTTGAGGCTTTTCTAGACCAAAGCAATCTTCTCCCTTAAGCTTGCAAGGATGGCCATCTCAAAATTGCCATTGCAAAGGCAACTGGTCAGTTGGGGATCTTCAACCCCACCAGGGTATAGTGGCAGCATCATCCCAAAACTCATCCCTGAGGTACTCCTGAAAGACTAGACAGCATTTTGGTCTCCAGACCTCCCTAGAGCACTATAAATACAGACAAAGGCAATAACGAATGTCTGCGGTATCAACCCATCCAACACAAAGGAGTTACTCCAGTGTCAGCTCTGTGCAAAGGAAATTTCCATCTGTCCTGGGTTATCATAAATATTTCCATACTTGTGATGTTGGGATTACAGAAATAACTGCAATCGGCTGAGTATACAGAGTTATCTACAATCTGCCTATCTTGTATCTCTTCCCCAATCAGTATTGTCTGAGCAGTTTCACAGTCTGGCTATTAAACTTTCCACTGCCGATAACCACGTGTTCATGCTCCACTGCTTGTTGAGGAGGAGGTACAAAGTGCTGAGCCCTCACGGCAGTGAGCAGGACCCAGCTGCCTAATCCTGTTTCTCTATTGCTTTAGCCTCCAGATCTTTTGCCCCGACAGTCTGGTCACTACCAGAACCACGATACCCGTTTAGCTGTACATTAATACAGCCAAAGCAAGGTCACTTTAAGGCTGCACGTGAAGCTGAAATCCTTGTTATGATACTTTTTAAACAATTTTTCCAATGTTGAAATCATCGTAAGGAGACAACACAGGGGCAGTATTCAAAATCCTCATGGTGTCCTAAAAAGAGGTATTTCAAGAAATGGGCCTATAAGGATGTGTCAGCTTTGCTGGATACAACACCAGAAAATGGGCAGTACAGCATCCACAGAGGAGTAGACTCAGCAGCATTACAGATTTTTTTCATCCATAAAGTCTCTTATATTTTCAGCTTGTGAGTGCACAGACAGCTTGATGCTGAGTCATGAAAGCCAAAGGAAGCAGAACTACAGTTTGATCCCATTCTCCAGCTTCGACTAAGAAAAAAAATCTCCAGCTGGAATAGGAATAGGATGCTGCAATTGAAACACAGATCTACACCTGCCTACAGGTTAGGGGGAGCTTATTGTCATGCCCATCTTGCAGCTGGGGAAAGTTGTCAATTATTTGACAAGCTCACAGACTCAGCAGTTGCTTCTCTAAGGGGATCACCAATCTGTGATTCACCTTAAGCTGCGTAGCTGTAATACCTAAGACACACAAGTCTTTGGTGATGTTTCTCTCTATCAATACAGGAGCCTAAACAACTCCCCTGAGCTGGACAACTTAAAGAAAAGTAAGGTTAGGAAAGATAAATCCCAGTTTTGTATCAGAGTAGATCTCAGCATGTCTTGACTCCAAATCTAACCAAGGCTAAACAGCTAGCAGCACCTATGTAAGTGGGGGTGGATGCGATAAGGAAACTTCAGCAAAGATGAAGCTCAGATAAACAATTGCTGTGTAGGTTTCTGCCACTAAAAGGTTTACTCCCCATGCTTGGCATGTAGCAATGCAGAAAATAATAGCATCTAGAATACTTTAATGCTGCTTTCCTAACTGAATCTACATTATAAACCAAGCTTCTTGGAAAACATGATAAAGGGGAGAAATTATTTGAATGTCAGATGAGCCGAAGCCATAAAGATACTGCTCCAGACTTCATTAAATTCAATCAAACCTCCGTTTGCTTAATGACTGCTGACTCATAGATCAAATGTGCCTTTGAGTAGACCCAAAGTTCAAAGGGTTTCTGCTGCAATATTGTGACCCAATTCTTCACAAAGTCAGAAACTGAGCCTCAAAATCCTCATCCAGATTTGCAGCCAAAAGTTTCAGGAACCTGGGGCTCTGATCTAGCTCCTCCACTCTATGTCATAATCACAATGAGGTCAAGAAGAATCTTGCATCACATCGATTTAGGATTTTTACTGGGAAAGAGAGGGAAGAAAAATGTACTAAAACATTTTACATTTTTAAAATCTCAAATTCTTATTTGTTTTTTTGTTTTTGTTTGTTTGTTTGTTTGTTTTTTAACAGGAATGATGCCTGGTGTAGCAATACTTGAAAATCCCTGAACCTAGATTGAGCAGGTTCCATCTCTTTGGGAAATGTTCTCACAATATGGATAAACTTGCAAAGTTTTTCTTCTAGAATGATCATTCAAAGTTAGATTAAAATATAATTGCCAAGTGCATGTTTTTCATCATTATCTCCATGAAAAACTAGTACCTTTAACATCCTTTTAGTATAAATTCATTTTTTTTCAGCACAGATGATCCAGGTCCTTAAACATATAAAAATTCCTCTTTCCATTTTTTTTTTTTTTTTCAGCACAGGCTTACACATAAGCTTAACTTTGAGCAAGCAATTTCACCAGCACAACTCATTCACTTAACACCAAGCATGTGCACAACAGTTTTCACAACCAGGGCTTAATTTCCAGGGAGGCATATTTTTGGCACTGAATTACAAGTAATTTTAATTCTTACTTGGACACCCACAGAGATATACCTCCTGACACTTAGGCTGAGTCTACCCCAGGGTACGTCAACCCTGCAAACCCAGTGTTTTCCCCCCATCATTTTGGTTGGTTATTTACTCTCCACCAGCCGTGCTCTAGGATCCTGGATTATTTATTACATTTGGTAGCTGTGGCCTGTAATTCTGTAACATCATTAATTTTGTAAAGGCGTTTGCGACACGCTCGCCTCAAAGATGCCAAACAAAACAGAGCTGATTATTGTTATCAGCTCTGCCATTATCGCTGAACGCCACTCAGGATAGCAGCGCTTTCAGTAGCTGGAGGAAAGAAAAAGAGGGGGAAAAAAAAAAAGGGAAAAAAAAAAAAAAAAAAAAAAAAGCCTTCCTACTCATATTGTCATTATGCCTCAAACAGCATAAACGATGCCTTCTGCATACATAATAATTAAACGCTTCCCCCGTCCCCCACCACCGTCCTGTTGTATCTACCGAGAGCCGACTCCTCCTGCCTGACCGAGTGTCTCCTTCGATGTAGGAGCAAGGGGACAGCACGGCCATGAAAAACTCCAGCCCTGGAGGAACAAGAGCACTGAACCCCCCCTTGTGCAGACCTTTGAGATGCAGCAGGTTGAGGGTGGCGGTGGTGGTCCCCAGCAGCAGGGTCCGGCCGCTTTCTATCGTGACGTTATCGCCATCTCGCGGCTGGTGGCCAGCAGGCCAGTTGGAATCCTCGTCCCACCGGCCACAGAACTGCAGGGCAAGCTGGAAAGAAAATAAAACCCAGAGAAGTTCAAAGCTCGCCCCTTCCCATCCTTGGGGAAGGCAGCTTGCCGAGATGCCAATGCCACGCCGGCTACTTTCCCGGCAGGACTCTGCAGAGGGCGAGGGGATGGAGGGATGCTGGGCTTGGAAAGGCTCTCAGCCTTCAGAAATATCTGTCACAATTCGGTGGTTGCCCCTTGTCTCATTCTGGTCTGGGTAACCAGGGGCTTCCTGCGGGTCTGGCTGCACAAAAATCCGCAGGTTTCCTGGTGTGTGTCTCTCTCTGCCTCCAAAAAAAAGCAGAACTGCACATTAAATCCTGGGAATGTCATAAAAAAGAGCCTGAAGAGTTTAGAATTAAAACATGCTGCTGGCTGGGCAATATTTCACTTTACAGGCTCTATACGTTGCATTTCAAAAGCTCTACTGCCAGTCATTCGCATTTAGAGAGATATTCCTCCTTTCAAATACCGATTTTTAGCTTTCTCAGCTTATCCATTATTATTATTATTATTATTATTATTATTATTATTATTATTATTATTATTATTATTGCCTCTCCTTTGATGGCTTGCACATCAGTTCTAAATAAAGCACTAACTTAAAAACAGCAAACAGCCTGACTCACGATGAGCAATGGTGAAATGACGCCTGCCTGTTTTGAGTCATGGTTCTTCCTCACCTCTAAACTTTAAGCATTCACTTTGTAGTGAAGGTTTGACTGGGTTTTTTTTTTGAGGAATATGTGCATATTTGTTCATGGACATGTGTGCACAAGTGTGGACGCAGGGATTCGTAACATAATCTTTCAGGCTTGCACATCAACTACCAAGAAATGATCTGAGTTGGGGGGGGGAAGCCAGACATGGAAATATTTGTGGTTCTCACTGGGTTGTGCTAATCCGAAACATCAGTGGAAAGAATAACCTCGATACAAAAGCAAAATATAGTTACTCCATTTAGAGCACATCATATGCATTAAAGCTTTTGTTCCAGAGCTGCGGTTTAGGTGAGTCAATGCTGCTGGTGTTAATGATAGTTACTCTTTTAACTGTGCTATAGTCAATTTTAGCTTTATGTGCCTGATGTTTTATACATTTCCCACAGAACTTAGAGCAGTCAGGTAACAACTGTATGGACACTACTGTCCTAATTATTTACACCGGGGAATGGGTGCTGTTTCCCAGGCTAAGTGTTACAACTGGTTTATGTCCACCCTGTCTGTAGGGTACGGATTCTGGTGTTTTCTACCCTCTGACCTGTTCTATGATTTCCCCACAACGGGAATTACTTGGTTCAATTTAGACTGAGATTGCATTAACACACACACAGTGAAAACATCTGGGGAGCTAAATCTCTGGTGTCAGAGGGAGCGAACCACCTCATCACTACAGAATTACTGAAAAGCCTTCACCTCTGTACACAAGTTACAGACAGTACCATTTCTCCGTGGTCGATAAGTGTAATAGGATAAATTTCATCTTCGTTATTTGCAAACATATATATATATATTTCAGAGATTTAGGACAAAATTCCAGCTGAAAGGATAGATATCTTCATCCAGTCTTTCCAGAGAGGCTGTGAATTACTCTTCACTGATAGTACTTTGAAGAAGATTTTATATAATATACAAGGTTATACAATAGATCCACTGAAAAAGGAGCTAATTAAACTTGTTTTTATCTCAGAGCAGGGGACAGAGGAGGGTACAGTCCATGGAAAGGCACACATTTCCCAGATACACTGTTTATCAAGCCAACTGTAGCACAAAATTGCAAATTCCATAAATTCCTGTCTGGCACAAACTCAACCAGTGCTGCCAGCAAAACACTGCATGATGCAGTTGTGAAATGGGGGGTTCCATCAGAACATTTTGTCGAGGAGGTTTGTTAAATGGCTTAAAGTCACTCTGACATCACTCTAAACCTCCGAAGTCACTTAAAAGCTTCCAATTAACTTTAATGGGAAAGCAAGGCCATAAGGAATATATCAGGTTGTTCTTGCTAGCAGCAAAAACTTAGTAAGACGTTGATAGAAGTCTTGCAAGAGTTAAGAAGGATAAATTCCTCTTCTGAACTTTACTTTTGTGGTTTTTAAGGTGGTTCCCCTTTCTAAGTAGGAAACATCCTAGTTCTTCATTTAAGGTTCTCTTTATATAACACCAGTGTTTATTTTTGCTGGCTTTCTGCTGTCACCTCTTAGAAGACTCCATACCCATTCAGTTCTACCAATATTCTCTGGCATAAAAGCTAGTAGCTCAATAAGGGTAATAAGGCACAAGAAATGGTTGAAACCATCTGGGAAACTCAGAACAATTAAACATCTTGAGAATCTAACTCAGAAAAGATACAAATATTCTGAAACTAAGTGCTCTGTTATTCAGATGACGTGCCCGCAGTAAGAGGCAGTTCCTACACCATCAACCTAAACAAAGACTTTGTTGCTCAAAAGTTTACTGCCCAAGAATGATTGCGTAAAGGCAGAATATGAGTTGGCCAAGGTTATAAAATTCTCAGTTGTTCCACAAAATCTGTACCTAAAGGTTTCCAGTGAGAAGATACCTGGCTTATGCTGCTGCCATGTGCACCAGCTGCATGTCCATCTCTCAAGTGATTTCTGATTTGTATTTTTTTCTTTTTTTTTTTTAAAAAAAAAAAAAAAAAAAAAGTAAACAGATGAACACCTACTAACATCTAACTAATATCTACTAATATCTAACTAATATCACAGGACCAAGACCTGTTTATAATCACTTGCAGCATCCTTGTTTTATCAGGGAGAGGATAAATCTAAATTGTCTGAAGAAAGAAAGGGGAGTTTGCTTGAGGAAAGTGCTTTAAGTTACCACAGTGCAGAATAATGTACAGGGGTGTTAGAGGGAAGGAAACTCTGTATGAATTGAAGAAAGATATTGAACTGATGGAGTGAAATGAGATAGCAGGTGATTTTCTTTAGTGAACCTTTTCTTGAAGTCCTACACCCTTGGCTAAGATGAAAGAGCACTTCCGTAAGATCTCTGAAAGAAGGTGCCCACTGCCTTGAATCACAAGTACAGTTTGCCTGGATCTTGAGAATTTCATATGATTAACCTCTTCCTGTTTTCTGGAAGAAATATGCACTGTAATGGACTTTTTAAGTTCTTTTGCTGAACGATGGTGGCTATGTCCCATTCCTATTAAGCAGCCCATAGTAAAACAACATGGACTAATACACACATAAACGAATTGCAGATCCCTCATCAGGCAGCTGACTTGTTCTCCATATGGGACAGGTTGTAGCCCACACTGACCCTACAGACACCAAATACCACCTTCTCTGCATGCTAATGGTAGCAAGGGGAATTTGCTGCCCTGCAGGCTGAGCATGCTCTTATGACCACTGGGATGGACTGACTCACTTGAGAACACAAAGAAAAGACAGTGAGACAGCCGTCTTATCTTTCAAATGGCTGTTTGGCCATACCCTAACCTTCCCCACCATCCAGCTCCTTTCCCTCTGCCTGCAGCTGAGCAGGATAAGAACATCTCCCTCGCTGTTTTTTCATACGGGAAAACTCTTTTCCATTTTTTTTCCCTGCTTGGCATCCAGCATTTGACCTATGGTGTTTAATTTAAACACTTCTCAGTATGACCGAAGAGACAGCAGCTGCAAGCACCAGGGTCATGGCTAAGCGCCCAGCCCATGCGTGCTTGTTGAATGAACCAGGAGGAACCCACAGAGCCAAGGAAAGCTGCATGTCAGGGGCTGGCGACGGGCATTTTCCTCCTGTGCTTTTTCCAGCTTCAGCACAGGGGACAACAAATGTCAGGGAGCTTGAAAGTCAGGATGGGGGAAAGAGGAGTTGGCATGAAACAAGCCCTGAATGGTGAAGCTGGAGCTGGTTGGCTGCAGCTGCTGCAGTGAGGTGGTAACTTCCCACTCTGGCTTCGGCGTATACCACGTAGTCAGAAAGATGATTCGGAGGAAACAGAGCTTATGAGACCGTAACATCTCTGCATCCATCTGTGTCGCTGTCAGTGCTCACACTTGGATGCTGCCAGCTTCAACTTGGTTTGACAGGAGGAGAGGGACCACAAAGATGCTGTATTCCTGCAAGGTGCATGAAAATCAGTAGCTAGGTTGAGGCAAGAGACTCTTCTGGATTTTCCCCAGGGACACAAGTACAGCGTGAACTGAACATTTAAAATGGTCACCCAAACTTTTACAGGATGTCCCCTCACATCACATATCCATAGGAAACTGGCAACATTTTACATTTTAAATCCAGTACAAGAGATGACACTTACTCAGTAGGGAACCAAACCTGCAAAATACGTGCAGAAACCCCAGGTGGGTGGGAAATCACAAGCACTGGGAATCCCTAAGGAGCCAGTAGCTCTTCCTGGGGTACCAAAGAGCACTGGGACCAGGGAGGGGATCTGACATGAAAATTACACAAGCAGAGAGTCCTGTGATATCTTCCCACCTGTGACACCCACTTGGTGTGTGTCATGCACAACTCATTTCAAGCCCACACCTTATGCACCCACACCACAGCTGATGTAAACCACAGGTTCATTCTGGCGGGGGTATCAACTCCTCCCCCATTAGAGCTCCAAAACAATGAATGAATGATGTAAAGATAAAACGTTTTAATAGCATACAATAAAAGATGCACAAGCTCCTTGTCATTCAGCACATTACTCCCTTCCTCTCTGCTCTACCTTCTTTTTCCGTTTTCAGACAGATTTCTTTCCATTTTATGTTTTTAGCTGTTGTCAGCCAGCCTCAGGTTGCCTTTATGTCAGCCTCTGGGGACATGCTCTCTCTGTACCAGTCTCTCAGCTTGTGCCTGTGACTACCAGGGCTCAGAAACAGCAGCAGCAACTGCAACAAATGAATAAGCAACAGGGATACACTTGCATTCCCGCACAGGCTGTCAAACAACTCACAAAGGGAAGGGACTGTAAGTGACCACTCCTTCAATGTTTCATCTAAATTTCTGTAAATAACAATCATTC